TTTCTTTACTAATGTAGCTGAGTCTCCTCTGATTGTCTTGCCTTGTGTATTTTCTGGTCAGCCTCTAGCTCAGAAAGAAAGGAAGGTGATAAGGAATATACTTCAATGTGCATCACTCTGTATGCCTCCCTCCTTAGCTTTTTGAACCAGAAAGCAGCTCAGAAAAATGCGAGAGAGCGGAGGTAGGGAGATTCCCACCCCCCAGTGCTCACATTTGCTTCTGTCTTGTCCAGAGCTAGGGAGCAGCTTGGGAAATGAAGTAGAGCAGCATGTGAGCAACAAAAAGGAGGCTGCATCATACTCTTGTGATCCATGTCACCCTCATCCACTTCTCACAAAATGGTATTTTTATGAGGACCTGCTCCCCATCCCACCCCAATGAAGAGTAGAATTAAAAGGCATCTGTTGCCATCATTAAACAAACAAAAAAAGTACCAATATTTTTGCTCTATAAGACTCTATAGACTCACTTTTTCCTTCCTAAAAAGTAAGGGAAAATGTGTGTGCGTCTTATGGAGCGAATGCAGGCTGCGCAGCTATCACAGAAGCCAGAACAGCAAGAGGGATTGCTGCTATCACTGCGCAGCGATCCCTCTCGCTGTTCTGGCTTCTGAGATTCAGAATATTTTTTTCTTGTTTTCCTCCTCCAAAAACTAGGTGCATCTTATGGTCTGGTGCGTCTTATAGAGCGAAAAATACGGTATGTGGTGTGTTCTATCAATTTAGCAGGTAGCTTGTATTCAGGACATTTTTTTCTCATTTAAGAAGGAAAGTATATTTTAATTGACAATATTGACCACAGTTGTTGTACATGGAGCACATTCAATTTGTGTTGAGTGCCAGACAATACAAAGCCTGGGGTTGTCCTAAATTTGCCCGTTTACAAGAAGCCCTTACGGTAAATGCTTCTGTGCTTTTGTTTTATTTTCCAGGCCTCTCCCGAGAGATCGACGAGAGCACAGCAAAAAGAATTTCAGACCTATATTTTGGACAGTGTGATGGACCATTTGCTTGCTGCTGATGTTCTATTGGGTAATTAACTTATTTTGATGGACTCTCTTTCAGTATCACTTAAAAACACACTAAAATGGGCAAGCTCAGTTCGAAAGAAAAAAATTCAATATCCGGGAACGTTTCGAAAAGAATTGGGTGAAAACCCTGAAAGTATCTTAAGAGCAATTATACAAGTCCTTTGGTGTGGTTGCACTTGGAATTCTGCGTACAGTTCTGTGTACAAGTCCCGCTTTTGAGCTTCTAATAAGCATCTGGTTGACCACTGTAGGAAGTAGAATGCTGGACTAGATAGGACTGTTGTCTGATCCAGCTCTTACATTCTTAGAAGCTCAGGCTTAATGTGTGGAAGCTCGGGCTCTATGTGTCTATACTAAGAGACAGCCAAGATAAGTCTCTGGTCTCTTTCAGCAGCTTCAGCTTCTGTAAGGTAAAGGTAAAGGGACCCTTAACCATTAGGTCCAGTCGTGGCTGACTCTGGGGTTGCGGCGCTCATCTTTGCTTTACTGGCCGAGGGAGCCGGCGTACGGCTTCCGGGTCATGTGGCCAGCATGACAAAGCCGCTTCTGGCGAACCAGAGCAGCGCACGGAAATGCCATTTACCTTCCTGCCGGAGCGGTACCTATTTATCTACTTGCACTTTGACGTGCTTTCCAACTGCTAGGTTGGCAGGAGCAGGGACCGAGCAACGGGAGCTCACCCCGTCGCGGGGATTCGAACCGCCAACCTTCTGATCAGCAAGTCCTAGGCTCTCTGGTTTAACCCACAGCGCCCCCTGCATCAGCTTCTGTAGCTGGTGTCAATCAGAGCTCCACTGTTCCAGGCGAGGTGGAAAAGGCAGGGAGCAAGTCTTCCAGGACTTGCAGCCAAGGTGGTCTTTTAACCCATCTAATGTTGTGAGACCAGGGTATCTTTCCACCTGTTCCCACCTTCCTTCCTCTGAAGTTCTGCTGTGGTCCTCCACTGTTAGAGGTCTGAAGGATGGGCATACGAGGCAAGGCCTTCATGGCCCAGGCACAGGAAATGCCCTCCATCTGCACTAAACCTTTTAGCACGTGGCAAAGACATGTCCCTGTCACCAGTCCTGCTGGCTGGTGTGGTGGTGTTGGGAGTGATTGATTCCTCAGCAACTGGTAATGTTTGCATGTTAATCTGTCTTCCGGTTTGTAATTTAGCTTGGTTTAATTCTTAATGCTGTGCCTGTTGACGGATGGGATGGAATTATTTGGGTAAAACGCTTTTTAACACTATCATTGTCATTTAGGGGAGGACGCATCTCTGCCTATAACAAGTGGAGGAAGCTATCAGGTGCTTGTAAACAATGTGTTCTATTTCACCCAGCGTGTGGTGGATAAACTTTGGCAAGGCATGTTCAACAAGGAATCCAAGCTGCTTATAGAGTTCATAATCCAGTTAATTGCACAGGTATGCTTCTCTTCTTCTTCCTCATCCTCCTATTATTTTGGCCTGCTTAACTTTATAAGGTAAAGGGACCCCTGACCATTAAGTCCAGTCGTGACCGACTCTGGGGTTGCAGCGCTCATCTCGCTTTATTGGCAGAGGGAGCCGGTGTATAGCTTCCGGGTCATGTGGCCAGCATGACTAAGCCGCTTCTGGCAAACCAGAGCAGCGCACAGAAACGCCATTTACCTTCCGCCAGAGTGGTACCTATTTATCTACTTGCATGTTGATGTGTTTTCGAACTGTTAGGTTGACAGGAGCAGGGACGGAGCAACGGGAGCTCACCCTGTCGCGGGGATTCGAACCACCGACCTTCTGATCTGCAAGTCCTAGGCTCTGTGGTTTAACCCACAGTGCCACCCATGTCCCGCCTAACTTTATACATTGCAATATATACAAAGATAGGGAACCTCGGAGCCAGAGGCACTTTCCTTACATGTTTTTGCCTGATTGGAATCTGTCCTTGTTCTCTGATGATGCCTCCTGCTTGCCTGGATGGAGAACAGAGGGTGGGTGGGTGGGTGTGTAGCAACTAGTCTACTGTACAAAAGTAAAATTTCCCTGTGTTGTCTTGCCTTCTTTTGCCTCTGGCTCCGCCCACCACAGGCACGTGACCCTTGGAAAGATTACCCAGAAAGCAATACAGCCCCCTGGCTGTATGAATGTACAGATCATCAGATGGTTCTGTCTTTTAATGAACTCTCTAGATATCTACCTCCTACTTTATTATGCTAAAATTGCAAGTGTTTCATGGTCCTTTCCTGCAATTGAGGCCAATTCCTACAGAAACAAAATTGGAAGCTATTTTTACAACTTAATACTTGGCTATTTCCTTACATCTCAATAATACCGCAGTATGGTTTACTCTGATTTGAGTGGAAGAAGTATCTTTAAAAACATGCTAATAAACTTGGGGTAATACAGAGATTCCATGTTTAAACATGTTTATTTGCATTTTTTGTTGCTTCAGTCAAAAAGAAGATCTCAGGGATTATCACTGGATGCCGTTTATCACTGCCTGAACAGGACCATCTTATACCAATTCTCGAGACCACACAAAACAGTTCCTCAGCAAGTGGCTCTCCTTGATTCTCTAAGGACACTTACTGTCAATCGAACTCTGATCTTGGGTCCTGGGAATCACGACCAAGAGTTCTTCAGCTGCCTGGCTCATTGCTTGATGAATTTGCATGCTGGGAGGTGAGCTCCTCACCAAGTGCACACACACCAGTTTGCTTAGAAAACTGTTTACTCTGTAAAATCGTCAGGTTCATTGTAATTGCCCCCCCCCCTTTTCCTAGTGGACATATTTCTGCAGCTTATAAGCTAGAAACAGTCACACATATTTCCATTTATCTTGCTTGCCAGTGAAGGGGCAACGTACAGGAAATGTAGAAATAAAATTCCAGTCATGCAAGGACACACAATTTAGGTAAAATTTCAAGAGAAGTCACAGTACGTTCTTGACGCAGCTTTAGGTCTTACATGACCAAGTGGGCCATCAGTCTTGCCCTCTATCTCACACACGCTTCAGGTGAGGGAGTCTTTATGTTATGATGCTTATGTATTAATTTTGTCCAAATGTTGAAACTCCTGAACAGAAATACATGAAGCAGCCATGGTCATAATTTTCCTCATCTTCCTTCCTTGTCATGTGTAAACTAGGTTAACCTCAAGGGGTGGTGGGAATGTCATGTACTGAGCCCATGGAGATAGATACACATTTTTTTACTCTTCGCCTTTTAGGAAGGCCCAGTGCCTTTTTTCTTAAAAAATATTTAGATGTGTGGCAATCACACAGGGTCCCCGGACATTTCACCGTCTATTGATCCCTGTGCCACCACTTTATTTCTCGCTGCCACCGCCCAGGCCCTACCTGGTACAATACTGAGTCCAGTCAGGTTTAAATTGGAACATAAACTTCTGTTTATTTATTTCAGTTTAACAAGCGTGGGGTTTCATAAACGATATCGGTCAATTACAATCGTAGGGTACCTATCCAGACCTGTAACTTCCGCTACCTGCTCTCATTCACTAAATCACCTCTCAGATATTTACTTGTCTACCTAGCTCCTAACTGTTCCTGACTCAACTTATTTCGCTACACTAACTCAACCTACCCACAGACTCTATCCCAATTCACTCCCTTCAACCAACCACCCAACTCCCAACAAACTCCCCTTTTGCCCCTCCCAGAGCTGGTTTTATAGTCCCTCTGACTCCACCCCCTGGGTTCTGATTGGGTAACTTGTTTAACTAATTCACCTCCAGCACACTCATATGTTAACATCACAAGAGGTACTCTCATTTTCCTACTCATATTGAAATACTGCCCCTCAATGAGGCCAAACTTAGATTCGCAAAATGTTTAGGGGTATGCGTAACCCCAGGAAAAAAGCACTGGGAAGGCCAGTCTAGATAAACATACAGACACACACACACACCTCTGCACTCCTAGCTAATGTAATGGAGACAGATACTGATCTAGCTTACTCCCTGAGGCGTTATCTGTTTTTGTATGTGTTTGGAGGGTGAGTGAGAGGGGGGAGCATTGAAATATGCAGCCCCCCCACCTCCTTTAGAAAGTGGTATAATTAGGAAACTTCATTCATTCATTCATTTGATTTCTTACCCACCCTTCACTGTGAAAGTCAAGAGGATGGCTTATAACAACTTTTTAAAGACAGTATTTAAAACAGTTAAAACAGTTTTTTATGTGATGGAGCCTGTTTGTTTAGGTCAGGCTTCACTCAGGTGATGGTGAGAAATGGAGACCTCGGGCAGATCTTATGTATACTTTTTGTCCTGCATACAGTGTAACTCCTTCACTTCCATCTAACATTGTTGGATAATATTTGCAGCAGCGTAGATGGGTTTGGCCTGGAAGCAGAAGCCAGGATGACTACTTGGCATGTAATGATCCCTTCTGATGTCGAGCCAGATGGAGTCTACAATCAAGATGTTAGTGAAGGTAATTATGCAGCTGGAGTCCATCCGTCTTAAATGTCAGTTAGTACGTTAGCTAATGTATTCCTCATGTCTTCCCTTAATCTTTCGGCTGTTTCATTTAAGAGTGGGGGTATGAGTTGTTTCCCAAGGAGCTATGAAGAAAAGATTGATGATAAACACTAGAATATAAAAGAAGCCATTTCGAAGTATAGGCCAAGCCAGGACTAATCAGAGGTTAATTTTGAACAGAGGACCAGTAATACAGATTACAGGCTGCATATCTACCTTAAACAGATCCCGCCCAAACAGCAGTTAGGAATAATTAGGATTAGGTTTAATCCCTCTCACTCAGCAGGACCTGCCTCTCATGGAAAATGGCTAACAATTCAGAACTCGGGAGAAAGCAAGATTTATTACAGATCTGTTTTGCAAATCATGGAAGTAGGTAGTTAAAATGGAGTTAGGATGCTGAAAGAGAAAAATAAGGAAGCCTCCAAATGACTGTCAGCAATTCCAGCATTGTCACAGCACAGGCTTTCTACTTCACTGGAAACCCTTCCGTTAAAAATTTCACCAGCATCGTTGCTGTTTTGTCCTTGACACTGAAGAATTTGGGTACGCCATTGTATATTGGCTCAAAATGGAGGAAATCTAGTATTTGATACTATGAATCCCAATCAGCACAAGATATTGTGTGACCTTGGGGTACACAAGGATGCACCATACCGGCACCTTATTTTTTTCTAGAAGAAAAGCACTGCTTATAAATCCAAATGAATAGACTCAGGTTAATATAAATCATAGGAAAAGCTAACACTAGTTTCATACAGTGTCCTAATCACATTAGGAGTGGGGTGAATATTTAAAAGAGAGAATCCAAAAGTGAATCTCCATTGTCTGGACCAGGCTCAATATATACTTGCTGTCCGCCTGCTCCCTGCCAATTCTAAAAGGTTTTTTCCTCCTCTACAATTCTATGATTCTGAACAAGGTAGTTTTTTGATTCAAGAATATTCACAAACCCCAGGTGCTTTTCCGAGGCAAGCACAGGTGGTTTTCCCCAACTTAATTTTAGTCACACATTTGTTTTTTTTGAGATCTATCTATCTATCTATCTATCTATCTATCTCCCTCACTCCCTCATTCTTGTCTCTCATCCATTCTGCAGCTGACAGGTGCCTAGCTTTATCTTAGAGCAATTTGATTTTACCATCTGTTTAAACTGATGCTGTTATTACTTCTTTTTAATTTGCTGCACTAGCTTGCATGATGTTGTTGTTGTTGATGTTTTACTATTTATTAAATTGTACTCTTTGTTTCGTGCTACTCTGTTAGCCACCCTAGAGCGATAAATCTATGCTGAAGTTACAGGATATTAATTATCGAAATAAATACCCATTTGTTCACTTTTGTGCCCTCTTCATGCATTTAGGTCGCCAGCTTCTTTTAAAAGCTGTAAATCGTGTGTGGACAGAACTGTTCTACAGCAAGAAACAGGCTTTGGAGGAGGTATTCAAAGTATCTCTCCCCGTCAATGACAGGGGCCATGTGGATATTGCCCTTGTAAAGCCCCTTGTGGAAGAAGCCAGTTTAAAATGTTGGCAAAATCACTTGGGTAAGAGCAGCTGTGCAGATTGTTATTGTGTGGTATATAATTCTTTGGCTGCTTGGGCAGATTTAAAACCCCTGAAATGTAGGGAGGAAGATGGGAGCAAAATGACATTGTCCTTGATTCCATCTATGTTGGATAATTCGCCTTCCGTTCTACCCATCCCAAAGGGCACCACTTCATCCCCTGCTTTTCATCCTAGGGAACAAGGGTTTCCTGTTCATCACCCACAGGCAGTGTTACAAATGTGGAATGTGGTCTTTGAGGGCTTTCTAATATAACGATGTAATATCTACCTGTTTAAAAGTACCGTATTTTTTGCACCATAACACACTTTTTTCCTCCTAGAAAGTAAGGGGAAATGTCTGTGCGTGTTATGGAGCGAATGCCTACAGATGACGGGGGGATCTGCTGCAGTCATGAGCAGAGGATCCATGGTTACAGCCTGCACCAAAAAAATCATGCACCCACTGTTGCCTGGCGCCACAATGGTGCAAAAACATGGTTACAAAGCATGGATTCACATGGATCCTCAGGATTTTTGGATTGGGCTACCCCAAACTCACTGTCAGATCACATGTCTGTGGCCACAGCATGAACCACAAAAATCATACATCCACTGTTTCGTTTAGAATATTTTTTTCTTGTTTTCCTCCTCTAAAAACTATGTGGGTGTTATGGTCGGGTGCGTGTTATAGAGCAAAAAATACGGTATGTAGGATGGGAGTGTGTTTGTGGGAGAATGCTACCATCTAGATTAGCCTGTAGCTTTTCTGGGTATCGTTTTTGGTTTGTAGCAGGGTGGATTTGATTTAAATCACTAATCAGTAAGACTTGATATAAATCATTTATTTATTTTTTACAGAAAGACTCAATCTTGCTGGTATAATCTTAATACTTACAACCATATGAAGGTTTCATTTTGGAATAATAAATTTTCAGAGTAGTTTTTAGTTATATCAAAAAAATACTGATTTGGTTATACTATTATAAATACATAGACAGATAATTATGAAATTATGGTGAGGTTTAAGAAGTTAACTGTACTTTATTGGAAGGAGAAAAATAATCATTTCCTTAATAACCATTTAAACAATTTATTTAACTAAAACAATAACATTATAGCATATGTATCCATGTTTGTTAACTGATGTGGTTAATTTTATTTATTTATTTTTTAAATTAGACTGAGTTTTAGTAGACATGAAAAACTTAAAACAAATCCTTATTTCCTGATGAATAGCCTTTGGACTATAATGTAACTTAAATAGAAGACTATATTTAGAAAGATTTTTCCTCTGAAAGCATTTTATTTTAAAAATCCAATTTAATTTTTTTAAAAATCCGATTTAAATTTTAAAAAACCTGATTTCTTTAATTATTATTTTTTTAAAATCATTGATTTTTATCCGCCCTGGTTTGTAGGTGTGCTAGTAGGGTCCAGTAAATACACTTTGAAAACCCCTAACTCTTCTTGGCATTCTAGCTCATGAAAAGAAAAGCATCAGTAGAGGAGAAGCCTTGGCTCCGACTACCCAGTCCAAGCTCTCCCGGGTCAGCAGTGGATTCGGTCTTTCCAAGCTAACAGGATCGAGAAGAAACCGAAAAGAAAGCGGTCTTAACAAACATAATCTATCCACGCAGGTATTGCATAGCATTTAAAGATAAATAGATAATACAAAGGAAAAACAATGGTCATCCCCTATATGTATAACAAATTGATCAATGATTTAGCCTGTATTAATAAATCCCCCCCTTCACTGTATTCTGTTACTTAGAATTTAAACTGCCTGAATGTTAAGTACTGTGGCCTGAATCCACCATAGCAGTTTCAAGTAGATGAGACTGTTGAAATACTTTGCTAGATTAGGGGGATTTTTTAAATTGTAAAACTTGCAGCGTAACTACTGTCTACCATAATTCCATATGTAATTCCACACTACTTGAAGTTTTCAGGGTTATTTTATATGTAAGTTGTTTTAAGGACGAGCTCTTTTCTGCACACATTAATATATTCATTATTTTGCTGTTAGGAGATCTCTCAGTGGATGTTTACTCACATAGCAGTGGTTCGAGACTTGGTAGATATGCAGTATAAAGAATACCAAGAGGTAAAATGAGAGCAGTAATCAAACCAAATGCTTTTTATCAAATCTGCATGAGCGTTGTATTTAACAGTGGTTTCTTTATTTCGTTTCATTTTATTTATATAAAAATCTTTTATTTTGCTTTTCTGTTTTAAATTTGTAAGTCCCAAAGTGGTTTGTGATATACATACATAAACAGCCAAAGTAAAACATAACAACTATAACATTTTTACGTAGTCATGCAATTTGAACTATACCATCCAGAACCAAAGAAAAACTCAGTATCAGTAGTCAGGAAATGCCAGAATAGAAAGATCTTTTCCTGTCTGCAAAAGTACCACATTGTCTATTTTCTCCAGGTCTCCATGGGGAGCTCATTCCACAAATGGGGCATCACAATGAAAAAGGCCTTACAGTGGTGCCCCGCAAGACGAAAGGGTTTTCCGTTTTTTGAGTCGTTCCGCAAGACGAATTTCCCTATGGGCTTGCTTCGCAAGACGAAACATCTTGCGAGTTCTTGCGAGTTTGTTTCCTTTTTCTTAAAGCCGCTAAGCCGTTAATAGCCGCTAAGCCGTTAATAGCCGCTAAGCCGCTAATAGCCGTGCTTCGCAAGACGCAAAAACCGCAAGACGAAGAGACTCGCGGAACGGATTAATTTCGTCTTGCGAGGCACCACTGTATTCAAACTTTTCAGTACAATCAGAAGATCCCCCCATAGATAGTTCTCACTAAGAAACATACACCATGCAGAGATAAGATAATGATCATATCCTTTGGATAGGCTAGTCCTTCTCAGCCAGCCATCTCCTAAATTAAAGAGAATTCTTTATGTTGCTGCCCTTCAACTAGAGAGAAAGCCCTGTCAGCAGTTAAGAGGGGAGCATCCATAACTCAGTGGTATATATGCTTTGCATGTAGATGTCTCAGATAAAATCCCTGGCATCTCCAATTAGGTAGCAAGTGATAGGAGAGAATTCTTTCAGAAACTCTTCTTAAGAGCAGACTGTACTGGGATAAAAGCAGCTTCATATGTTTATAGAAAGATTTGTGGTGCTGGCAGCCTAGGAGCCGTGCTAGAGCTGCTTAAGGAACAGGTACAGATTTAAGTACAAGTACACAAGTACACCCTTTTTATAGACAACACACTTTACAAATATGTAATTATGAACTATGTAAATAACAAATCCCGTGCAAGGACAGTTCACAACTTGAGTTTTTAAGCACCGAGATTGAGGAAAACAGCACGAATATCCAACTTTGCCACCTTGAACCTTTTAAAAGAGTTGGTTTTATTTTCATTTATTAAATTTATATACCGTCCTTCGAGGATCACAGGGCAGCTTAAAAGGCCTTGGGCTTCTTTGCTGCCGTGCCTCATGAGAATTTATGTCAGTTAGAATCACGGTACAAGGGAGCTTACTTGATTCTGCATGCATTTATGACACGTGATTTTGCACACCATGGCAGTTAACCTGTAGTGTCCTTTCCAGCGTCAGCAGAATGCGTTGAAGTATGTGACAGAAGAGTGGTCTCAGATTGAATACGAGTTGTTACGGGAGAGAGGACTGTGGGGCCCTCCTATTGGCTCTCACCTGGACAAGTGGATGCTGGAGATGACAGAAGGTCCCTGTCGAATGAGGAAGAAGATGGTGCGAAATGACATGTTTTATATTCAGTATCCTTACATGCCGGATACTGAACATGAGACAAATATGCTGGTAAGTGCAGTTACAGGAGGGCAGTAGCTTTTAGCTGTAGCAATGCATTGGCTTATTTCTTGCAACATTGCCAGGAAGGTCCATCGCCGATTGTATAATGCATTTCTGGTGGTGCTCAGCTATGCGTTTAGGGATGGACACTGATTCCCCTTCAAGTGCATATCAGCAAATATTTGCACTAGCTCCCTGAACCATGCAGGCCAATGGGCGTTGTCTTTTTTGCAAGCCTCTAGATTCCTGTTGATTAATTTTCCAGTTGGAGGAGAGCAGAAAGTAAAGTGTGCTGTGGCTTCGCTCTGCCCTAACAGGGAAGGCCAGACTATACCACCTACAATGTACCAAGCCAGGTACAGCCCACCTACCATTGGTGCTTCATATCCCCCTTTTATTTGCAATCCTAGGCAGGTAGCAAAAAAAAGCCCTGATGGGCTTGCCCTACATGGATGATGGACTGCATTGAGCTTGGAGGGATTGTACAGGCCTGTTGCTAGTCTGATCAAAGATACCTGGGAAGTTAGAAAAAATGTAAATGCATGGTCAGGTAGGTGTGACTTGTACAAACGTGATGCTGCTGTTAAGGTGCATTCTCTTAACAGCGTTCGGAACTCCCATTGTTCTGGGCGCATTTTGCGACAGGGAATTTCATTAGCGCAACAGTTTCTGAGCTCCGGGTGAGTACTGTGCCTAAGATTTCAGATTAAAACTGCAGAGTGGAAGGAAAGGAGGACCTTTTTCAGCCTCCCCACTTCCAGCTACTCTCTGAAGACTGGAAAAGAGACCCTCTTAAGAATATTAGGGGGTGGACAGGGGAAGGACTAGACCATGTGAAAAATGAACATAATATCTTAGCTGCAGTTCATTTTCAGCTTTGTATTCTTGTTATAAAAAAACACGTCTAGACATTCCATTGTTGCACCCATAACCTAGATTTAGGGTGCCATTTAGCTCCTAGCTTTCATATCTCAGTTTCTCACACTGTCTCTTCATAGTCCATCATATTTGAGTTGTAGGCAAATGCAGATTCAAAGCAGCAGTGAGAGATGTTAATTAGATCCACTGATAATCAACAAGATTTTAATTGAATTGCTAAAATATTGCCATATGCCTCTTGTGCAAGAACTTTGTGATTAAATTGAGCTTTACCTTGTGCTAGTTTTAGCAAATTTTAAGGTTCGAGCTTCTATGTTGTTATTTTTCCTGCTTTGCATTTCCTGGTGTGGAGAAAATTAGAAGTTCAGTCATTGGCTTTTTGCCCACTAATGCTCTGACAGTTTTAGTCGCATCATGCATTCTTCCTCAACATGATATTTCCCCTGATGTTTCTATACTTAATACCCTGTTTTTCAGTCTGACTTCTCAAGTAAGCCTCCTGAGACATCTGACGATACCATTCCTCAAAAGGTAAAGAGAGAAAACTCTCCACGGGTGGCAAAACAGATAGAAACCTCTCTGTGCATGTTAGGCAACCTTAACAAGGCTTCTCTGGTTGGCTTTCAACGTGCTTCCTCAGTAACTCTGTCGTAGGGTTAATGATATACTAAGAGGATGTGGCTGTGTTCTCTTCAGTCTTCACCTAATACAATGTCTATGTAGCTCTTTCTGTCTGTGTTGCACACTAACAAGCTGTGATGGGCTGTGCTGTCACTATTCTCACTGTATAAACATGTACCAGCTCGAAATTAGAACTAATGGACTGTGATGTGTTTAGTGATGGGCAGTTTGGACATTCATGCACTTAGCCTAATCAGTATTTCAGGGCTGGCATAATGTTTTTGCACTGTTAAGACAATCTCACCTGTTCAGGGCACTGTGCTGGCAAAGCAGTTGACTCACCTTGACCCATACCTGTATTTGGGACCATTAATTGCTGCTTTCTGCCCCCTTGTTAACATAAACATTTTCTATGTGCTTCTAATGAGGAACATGGGATGTATGTCCTGGAATGCATCCCTTTCTGTTCACGAACAACTATACTGCATTCCACTGATATTTAATTCTCAAAATACGTTGCGAAGAAAGCTCCAACATTATATTGCCTTTGCAAATAGTCCTATCTAGGTCACACAAAAATAGAGATCAAAACATTTTAAAAAATTTGCTCATCACTAAGTACAATATGCCTTCACTCATTTTGAATTACTTGTCAAACCAACATTTTGGAAGGTGATGCATTAATATATATTTTGGCTCTTGGTGGACTTGCTAAAAACGTGTCTGTTCTCTAGGTGGCTTATCTCTTATGTCCATAGGACTAGGTCAACAAATCTTCATCATATAAATGAACTCTTCTTTAAAAAACCCTCAAGCATAATTGGAGATTTTAGGGAGCATCTAGAGAAGAACTTTGGCTGAATTCTTAATCTTTTCCAGTAGGCTTCAGAATGAAGTGCAGTGCTTATTACCTTCCTAACCTTTTACAGGGGGTTTGCGATCTACATGTTAAGTGTAAAAAGGTAAAGGTAAAGGTACCCCTGCCCATACGGGCCAGTCTTGACAGACTCTAGGGTTGTGCGCCCATCTCACTCTATAGGCCGGGGGCCAGCGCTGTCCGAAGACACTTCCGGGTCACGTGGCCAGCGTGACAAGCTGCATCTGGCGAGCCAGAGCCGCACACGGAACGCCGTTTACCTTCCCGCTAGTAAGCGGTCCCTATTTATCTACTTGCACCCGGGAGTGCTTTCGAACTGCTAGGTTGGCAGGCGCTGGGACCGAACGACGGGAGCGCACCCCGCTGCGGGGATTCGAACCGCCGACCTTTCGATCGGCAAGCCCTAGGCGCTGAGGCTTTTACCCACAGCGCCACCCACGTCCCAGATCAAACTATAGTGTCGAGCAAAACCTTCATTCTTCATATTTACTGCTTTTACCACTTAGAAGCTATTTCCATTGATCACTTCTGTTTGTATTCATGGTCCTGAGTTGTCACAAGCCACCAATTATTGGTAATAGCTATTGATTCTTTTTATAAATTAGTTGCCACTCACCAGTGGAAGGTGAATGTTTGGTAAGTATTTACATATAAACATTTT